GCTGCAATATTCCACTACAAAGCTTGAAATCAGTACTCCCATTATGCTTTGTGCGCTTAGAGTTTAAGGTTTAAGGTTTAGAGTTCAGGTTTGCAAAGGACAACCTTTATTGAATTAGCTGTATTAGCTGTATACCTTTATTGAATTAGCTGTATATATTTAAGATTGATATTTGTTGTTTATGTCTTTTTATTTGCTCTACTGATTTATTGGTGTTGAGCACTCTAGTTCACTACGCACAAATTCAACATTGAATATATATATATATATATATATATATATATATATATATATATATATATATATATATATATATATATATATATATATATATATATATATATATATATATATATATGTTGTTGGGGCGACCAGTGGAATACATGATAGTTTTGGAGTTGAAGCTGGTCTAAAATTCTTTTTAAAATACTAGAATATGTACAATAAAAAGTCTAAAAAAGTTCTAAATTTTCGGTTGCTAACTGCAAGCTTCAACTGCAAAACTATCATATATACATATATATATATATATATATATATATATATATATATATATATATATATATATATATATATATATATATATATATATATATATATATATATATATATATATATATATATATATATATATATATATATATATATATAAAATAATAATGTCAATATTTATTTATAGGTCAAGACGTAATGATTTAAGTGACAAGAAACAAGTAAAAGCATTTGAAATTGGACTTCAAACAGGTTCACGTGTTAAGTCTGGTCAAGTAAAACTAGCCATGGTTGCTTTCTGGGAAACAACGATATCGGATTACGATATTTCTTCAATTTACAAATCAGGTGGGTGTTATATTTATGTATTATACAGTCGCGCGCCCTTAACCAATCAGTAATCGTCGAGAGGTTTTCGTGCCGATCCAATATTTTACGTCATATTCGACTGGAACCTATTGGACAGTTGCCAATCGTTTTTCAACCCTTTTGGAACACCAAAAACATTGGTGTTTTTCAATCTACACGAGCAAAATCGCCACGAACAAAGTTTAGTCTATCCACGAGCAAAATATCTTTGAGATATGAATTTGTCAAATAAAATTTGCTCGTATAAACGGGACTTTACAGTCAAAGAGTCAAAGGCATATTGCTATAAAATGTCAACACTCGCCATCATCGTCTTAAAGACATAAATATTCCATTAATATCTCTAATTCCTCGCACGATCGTCCAAAACATCCTCGATTTCTTCCTTATTCGACGATTTTTTAGGTTTTCGAGCACATTTGCAAATTTTGAGCGTTATTGCAAGTTTTCAAGTCACGATTTCACAGTCCCTGAAATTAACGCGACCGCTCATACGAATGACGGATAAGGGACTGTGGAAGAGTCAGCATTAACACAGTTTTTCCTCGACGTTAGTAATGCTATTTTTTTGTTCAAATTATGTGAAATTTTCTTTAAAATTCCTTTAATTATGGAATTGAGTTTATTTATGCACTCATATTTGTAAAACATGTTTATTAACTTTTTGTTTAGTTATTTAATTAAGCAAATTCGCCGCCAATACAAGTAGTAAATGTTGTCCCTCTGTATTACTTTATCGCTTATTGACAATTTTTGTTATAGAATTATTTTGTTCGACACAATAAAACTCTTATTGGTATCATCTTAGCCCAATACGGTAAAATATTAAGTATCAACCCTAATATTAGGGGTATCGCCGAAATATTGAGGTCTCTACCTAATATTTTGTTATATTGGGTTCAGGAGAATCCAATAAGACATATTGTTCAACGAAATTTTGTCAAGACATAGACTCATTGCTCATATTCACCTGTACCGTCTCCTTCTCGAGAATGCGACAGCACAATATCGAGATATTTCGTATTTCGAGTTTCTTACCGAATTGCCTATTGCCGATTGTTTAGTTGTGGTCCCGTTCGTTTAATTTCCTCGTCTATTTTATTTAGAGTTTGGAACATGTCCATTTAGTTGGATCGAATATGGAATGTCATGCTACCAGCTGAACAAAGATACAAAGTCAAATTATCGGGCCGCTAGTACGTGTCAGCGCTCGGGAGGAGATCTTACTAATATCGATACTAATGTTGAACAAGCATTTATTTTAACGATATTGATTGATAAGACATGGATTGGTGAGTATTTTAAAATTGGAAGTATACCTAATTGTTGTAAATAATGGCTGAAGGGAACACGCAAGAGGAAATTTGCAAGTTATTTAATACTCTGATACCAAATATAAGTTGCGGAAATTTCGGTGGGGTGGGGTGAGGGGGCGCACATTTACCGTCTATTGACGATTTTCTGGAAATTTTAAAACAGCCTTTTCGAGTGCAAATTTGGAGGGAGGCCGGAAATTTGAAAGTTTTGTTGAAAATTCCCCTCCCCCCCCCCCCTCCGCCCCCGAGGGCGAAGGTAAATATCGAAGGCGAGGTAAAAAGTAGAGTGTGCAGAGGATAGAATTTAGACGGTAAAAAGGCGAAGGTTAAATATTAACTGTCACATGTCGAGGGTCAATAGCGACGTCTACGTGATCTTGTCATCGATGCAATTTTCCCTTTCGTAAACGGTCGATGCCGTCCGAAACGGGGGCATCTTCGTGATCTTCTCGTCATTTTTCCGTGTTCGCTCATGCAAATTTACAAAGCGGAGTCTAGTGTAGTGGAACCTCTTTGATATATAATAAAGGTCAGCAATTGAACACGGGATTGTTTATAAAGAGTTTCTGTTTATCTTCAAATTTAACGTTAGGTACTCGGAATCATTTCAGGCCTGAGTTCCACGCTTCAATCTTGTCTGCAGTTAATCGTTTAACTGTATACCACAAACGAACCCTTACCTTATATATATATATATATATATATATATATATATATATATATATATATATATATATATATATATATATATATATATATATATATATATATATAGTTTACGAAACACAAACAGTGCTCAATACCATATAGATGTTTTCCTTGCCAAACCTCTTACCTAAGTGATTTAAAATGAAAAGGCCTACCAGCTCACAAATTTCTGCGCCGTCGAAACTACCCATAGTGACGTCAAATAAACTGTTGCTTCCGTCTTTTTTTGTCCATAATTTGCCGTTGCCGAAAAGTAGAGATTTTCTTGCATGTTTTATTATTGAAATATCGTTTTCGGTAATAGTAGTCAAATCCGAAGCCCAGGCCAATGCTTCATTTAAAAGTTTTTCGGAAATAGATGGGTAAAAATCCACAATATCAAATGAAATAAAACTGTGCCTGTCTTTATCGTTTATATTGCCAAACCATGAAATTACCTGTTGCGTATTTCTCCATTGATTTGAATTTAGTTTTTGTCTCAAATTGGAATTGATTTTATCTAAAATAACCTTACTTAGTTTTCCGGATTCGCTTTTTGCGGGATTAATTAGTCAGCATTTTGGATTGTTTTCGAAATTTTCTTTGTGATCTTTTAAAGATATAAATGCTTCGCGTTTTTTCATTCGTTCAATTCTGTCGCCAATTCCTAACCTACTCGAAATTTCTTTCAATTCGGAGTCAATTTCATCTATGAAGTCCTCTGATCCATGTTTGTACGTTTTCGTGATGTTGTCATGTAAGAGTTCGTTGTATGTGTTCAGTGACGTTTCGTAAATGTTTCTAGTTTTGTCCGCGAAAATGAAAATGTTGGGGGATGAATGAATTTTCTTCAAATCGTTAGCCAAAGATGTCTGAAATTGGTCTTTAGGACGCCGGAATTTTACGTTTTCAATTAGTTTTATCAAGTCGTCTTCGAAAGGTTTCAAAAGTGGAATTGAAGGAGGCGATTTGTTAGACGAAAGGCCGAAAAGGATGCTTTGGTTTTGAGTCGTTGATCCTTTTAGGAAGAAATTAGCTTTCCATCTCATACGTTTTGTTACGCTTTCCACTTTTTCAATCAAATTCTTTAGGTAAGCATCCTGTGATGGTATAGGAATATTCTTTAGTGAATAATCGAATCGAAATTGTCGCATGTTTGAAGTAGAAATGAAATGAATAACGTAGACAAGAGTGCACAACCGATTACCGGGTGCAAATATATATATATATATATATATATATATATATATATATATATATATATATATATATATATATATATATATATATATATATATATATATATATATATATATGGAATGCGTGTAGGCGAAACAATGCTTAGGTGAAACAATGCATGCTTGGGTCATTAGGTTTTGTTAACGACCTTGTTTACTCGAAACCGGTTTTTGTGACGACATTTGCCGAAAATTTCGCTTCTTTTATTGAGTAAATTGTCTTTGTTTATGTCTTTCAAAATGTAAAATTTTTCTTCCAAACATAAATTGCAGCGTTTTGATCCCCCTGTGTACGAAATAGCGTGTTTTAAAATTGACCATTTGATGGTATAATCCTGATTGTTTTCTTTTAATTTCCAAATATGTTTCTAAAGTTCCGTTTTGTTTGAGTCTTTTTTATGACGAAAAGATGAAGTGTGGTTAGCGTAACGTTCCTTAAATGTAGTCGCTGTCATACCAATGTAGTGTTTAGTGTCGTTCGTGTTGTTCATTGTGACTGTGGCTTTGTAAATAATGTTGTTGGTCATACATTGTTTCGGTAGTGGGCAAGTGTTTTTGTTGTCGCAGTTACAGTTGTCAGTTTCCGTATTCTGTGATTGACTGTTCCTAATTATATGTGCGTTGTGTTTGGTGATTATAGACTTAACGTTGTTCATGCAACTCTAGCTTACTTTTAAAGTGTTTCTGTTAAAAATCTTGTGTAGTTTGTGCTGTAGTGGGAAGTGTTTGTCAATTAAACTTAAGAATTCCCGTCCTATGTTCGTGTTAACACTCTTACTAAATGGTGGGTTGAACCAAATTATATTGCGTTGCCTATTCCTACGTGTCCGTTACGGTGCATCCTGAGTGTACGACAGTACGTACATTCATGATCAAAGTTACTATGTCTAAGAGCGTTCTGGTAAATAGGCGTAGATTCCTTAAATGTTTGTTCGTCCGATGAGAGAAGTGCAATGCGTTTGTTGATAGCTGTAGGTAATTGCCTTGTAATGCTTGGTGGATGGTTTGAGTG